AATTTGTAAAATATTATTTAAATGTTACATGTACTAAAAAAATATGTTATCATGTATTTTGAATAGATGATATACCAGCAAACAAATGTGAATGTTTAGAAATCATCGAATCGAAAAGAATTTACAAGGAACTATTGCTAGATACTTATAACATAGAAACTAATTCCACTTCTAGATTATTGACCAAGAGTTGAAAATCTGCAAAGTTGTTTGCTGGGTTATCTCTACATGTGTATCTATCTATTTATTTATCTATAAACTTCTTGTATGATTTGTTTTATTTAAATTCAATGACTCAATGTTGCCAATACATATTTTGGAGATATTTACCATAACGACAGCCTCAATTGTTTTTCGGTTAGAGGTGAATAACGACGCTGTTGGGAGCTAAGGTAAGTAGTATTTGCTGCTGTAGCAATAGCATTGTCGTTAAATATTTGTTTGTTCCTGTTGTCTTACTTTTTGTTGCTTGCTTCAAAGATGTCTAGGAGATTATTTTTCTTTACTTGTGTATCAATAAGGTGCAGTACTTTTTGTGAAGCTTTAAATACAAAACAATTATATGTAATTTTTTAAAACAGTTCTTTAAAGAAGTAAAACTTTTAACGCATCTATTCGAAAATTCACAACAAAAAGACAATCGATATGAATATTCTGTTTAAACAAAGAATCGAATAGAATTAATAGAAATGTTGTTTCTTTTAACATAGAATATATATCCAAATTCTCTTTAAAATAGGGATCAATTCGTAAATTCTTTATATATAGTGAAACGTTTAGAAAAAAGGTTTATAAATCAATAACTAATTCACAAATTTTATAAAAATTGATAAACGAGTGGAAATATCTGTGTAAATAGTGAATTAATTCATGAGTTCTTTATAAATAGTGAATAGATTCAAAAATTTCTTTATATATGTAAGGAATCGATTTAAAAATTTCCATATTTTTGAAAATTCAAAAAGTACCTTTTGTAGAACGAAAAAGTAGCAAAAAGTCCCTTTTATGTGTTCTCACTTAATCGGGACTAGAAAATTCAAAAACTACCTTTCATAGAACGAAAATGTACGAAAATGTTCCCTTATATAGGTTCTCACCTAATCTGGTCCCTACATGGAAAATTTCATGTTTCTAGGTTCAATATTATAGAAAATAGAAAAAGTGCCTTTTGTAGAACGAAAAAGTACCAAAAAGTCCCCTTTTATAGGTTCTCACTTAATCCGGGCTCCACTTACTTAATTTGATGTTTCGAGTACCATTTGTAAAACGAAAAGGTACCAAAAAGTTCCCTTTTATAGGTTCTCATCCGAGCCCTATATGCTAAATTTAATGTTTCTAGGTTCAATATTTGTAAAAAATTCAAAAAGTATCATTTTTAAAACGAAAAAGTACCAAAAAGTCAGCTTTTATAAGTTCTCACCTAATCCATGCTTAATTTCATGTCTCCAAGTTCAATATTATAGAAAATTCAAAAATTACCCTTTTTAGAACGAAAAAGTACCAAAATGTTCCCTTTTATAGGTTTTCACCTAATACGGGCCCTATATGCTAAATTTCATGTTTCGATGTTGAATATTATAGGAATTTCAAAAAGTACCTTTTTTTAAAACGAAAAAGTACCAAAAAGTCACCTTTTATAAGTTCTCACCTAATCCGGGCCCTACATGCTAAATTTCATGTTTCTAGGTTCAATATTATAGAAAAATCAAAAAGTACCTTTTGTAGAACGAAAAAGTACCAAAAAGTTCCCTTTTATAGATTCTAACCTTATCCGCGCCCCTTACATGCCAAATTTCAGGTTTCTAGGTTCAATATTTTAGAAAATTCAAAAATAACCTTTTTTAAAATGAAAAAGTACCAAGAAATCCCCATTTAAGTTCAATATTATAGAAAATTCAAAAAGTAAATTTCTCTTTTTTTAGAAAATTTTCGGAAATTTCTCTTTTTATTGAGAATTTTCCGAAATTTCTCTTTTTATAGAGAATTTTCAAAATTTTGTCTTTTTCATAAAAATTTTAAATTTTCTCTTTTTCAGAAAATTTTCCAATTTTTTCTCTTTTTTATAGAAATTTTTCGAAATTTTCTCTTTTTTATAGAAAATTAAAATCACTCTTTTAAAGTATTGTACCTTTCCTCACCATACACCTACAAACACATTAACATTTACGTTTACTTTGAAACGCACATGCATGTATTAACAGCAGCATAAAAGCATTTACAAAAGAGGCCTGATGTTGTCGCTTTTTCATTGTAACAACATTATGTATTGTTGCTGTGTCTACAGCTACTGCAACTACAATTGTTCTATACACATACATACATACATACAGTTACACTAGATTGTTACAATTGTCTCCCCATTCATAAACGTGTTAAGGTGGTTGTTGTTGTTGGGTTCGTTGATCGTACATTTGGTTCGTTTGGTTTGTTTGTTGGTTAAATGGTTTGGTTGAATGGTTGGTTGACGGTTTTTTGTTTTTTGTTTTTTGTTTAATGTCCAGGTTTCTAAATTGACTTACGGAAATTACCAAAGTGATACTTGATTTACACATGCTTTAAGGTTTCTATATGTACTCGATGCAATTCAATATTATTTCATTTTGTTGCTGTTACTATTCTGCATACAACAACAACGACAATAACAATAAGAATTGCAGTTGTTAGAAAATTATCAGTTCGCTTCTTGTTGCGTTGCGGGTTTTGCTGTGTTAACTTCATTCATTGTTGTCATTTTACAATTGTTTTGGCTAAAATAAATTGCAAGTTTGTATTCATTACATGTTTATAGGAATATATACAAATATATGTATGTACACACATACATACATACTACGTACATACATATGTTCAATATCTAAGTGAATGAGTGAGTAAATGATTATGGAGTGTCTGTTGTGCCCATGACGGGTGTATGTGACATACAGGTTAATTGAAATCTATTTGTTAAACTAATTGAACAAAACAAAACTGCAAGATTTATAGAATAATAGCAAACAAAGGAATGAACCATGACTAAGGAATTTAATAAATTACAATTTTTGGATTGCGAAATATTTAAAAAATTTTTAATTTTTGAACAATTCTCTTCTAGAGAGAATTTATGGAAAAAACTTTTTTGTTGAAAATTTACGAAACATTTTTATTGAAAAAATTTCGAAAAATTTGTAATTTTCTCGTTTTAATAGAAAATTTCTCTTTTTTATATAGAATTTTTTAAAAATGTCTTTTTTTTGTAGAAAATTTTCCATAATGTCTCTTTCTTATAGAACATTTTCGAAAATTTCACTTTTTTAAAGAAAATTTTAAAAAATTTCTCTTTCTTATAGAACAATTTCCGAAATTTTCTCTTTTTTAAAGAAAATTTTTAAAAATTTCTCTTTCTTATAGAATATTTTCAAAATTTTCTCTTTCTTATAGAACATTTTCGAAAATTTCACTTTTTTATAGAATATTTTCTAAAATTTTCTTTCTTATAGAATAATTTCCGAAATTTTCTCTTTTTTAAAGAAAATTTTCAAAAATTTCTCTCTCTTATAGAACATTTTCGAAAATTTCACTTTTTTATAGAACTTTTTTCAAAATTTTTCTTTTTAATAGAACCTTTCTTTTAAATTTCTCTTTTTTATAGAAAATTTTTGAAATCTTCTTTTCTTTATAGAAATTTTTAAAAAATTTCTCATTTTTATAGAACATTTTCAAAAAATTTATCTTTTTATAGAAAATTTCTCTTTTAATAGAAAATTTTCAAAAAATTTTTTTTTAATAGAAATTATTTCGAAAATTCTCCTGATTTCAAAACACTCCCAATTTAAAACTTTAATTTTTGAACAATTCTCTTCTAGAGAGAATTTATGGAAAAAACTTTTTTGTTGAAAATTTACGAAACATTTTTATTAAAAAAATTTCGAAAAATTTGTAATTTTCTCGTTTTAATAGAAAATTTCTCTTTTTTATATACAATTTTTTAAAAATTTCTTTTTTTTTTGTAGAAAATTTTCCAAAATTTCTTTTTAGAAAATTTCCGAAATTTTTTAAAAAAATTTTCAAAAATTTCTCTTTCTTATAGAACAATTTTCGAAATTTCTCTTTTTTAAAGAATATTTTCTAAAAATTTTCTTTCTTATAGAACAATTTCCGAAATTTTCTCTTTTTTAAAGAAAATTTTCAAAAATTTCTCTTTCTTATAGAATATTTTCAAAATTTTCTCTTTCTTATAGAACATTTTCGAAAATTTCACTTTTTTATAGAATGCTTTCTAAAAATTTTCTTTCTTATAGAATAATTTCCGAAATTTTCTCTTTTTTAAAGAAAATTTTCAAAAATTTCTCTCTCTTATAGAACATTTTCGAAAATTTCACTTTTTTATAGAACATTTTTCAAATTTTTTCTTTTTAATAGAACCTTTCTTTTAAATTTCTCTTTTTTATAGAAAATTTTTGAAATCTTCTCTTTTTTATAGAAATTTTTAAAAAATTTCTCATTTTTATAGAACATTTTCAAAAAATTTATCTTTTTATAGAAAATTTAAATTTTAATAAAAATTTTCAAAAATTTTTCTTTTAATAGAAATTTTAAAATTTTCTCCTGATTTCAAAACTCTCCCAATTTAAACTTTATAAAATTAAAAATATTCCCCTTTATCTGCTTTCCAAAACTTTTGCTCACATTTCACTGCATAAAATGCATAAAAACCAATATTTCATTTAATTAATGTTTATCAATTCGTTTCTTATAAAACGAACATTCGAATAAATTCAATGAAAAGTAAAAAAAAAAAAAAAAAATTAACATTATATTCGATAAAAGTAAAAAATCAGCATTTACGCTCTATAGCGCTTTTCAGATGTCTGAAGTGTATTACTTACTTATTTGTTGTTCTTATTCCTGGAAAATGCATACAACTTTATAGGCAGCATTTAAATATGATATTGAAGTATTATTTCAATTTTTTGGTTTTAATTTAATTTTCTCTCTCTCTTTCTTCCTTTGTCCTTTTGCAGCAATACCCGTTGGCAACTGGACCCCACCTGACATCGATTACAATGAACGTTTCACTTGGGAGGGTGCCACCGATATGAGTAACAATTATCGCGATGCATTGAAGCGTGGTTTGCCGTTTCCCATCTTAACTGTGGCTGAGTACTTTAGTCTTGGCCGTGAAGGTTTTTCGTGGGGTGGTCAATATCGTGCTGCTGGCTATTTTGCCAGCATAATGCTGTGGGCCTCATTGGCCTCTTGGCTGCTAATGAATTTGTTACTTATCGCTGTGCCACGGTATGGTGCATATATGAAGGCATTAACTGGTGCACTCTTGATTGGCACGAATGTGGGTTACTATTGTCAATTGCCGAAGAGACCATTAACAATTTACATGGAGGGTGGTCGTTTGGAATTTCATTTGGGTTGGTGTTATTGGCTCTTGCTAGTGGCAGGTGGGTTGTCAAGATTAAAAATAGCAAAAGTAAAATAATAAAATTTATTAAAACAATAAAAATATTTTTCTTTAGGTATTTTATGCTTCATAGCAGGTGTATTAATTTCCATCATCGATTTGGTATGGCCTCATACATTCTCCACCGTTTTAGAGGTCTACTATGGTACACCCTATGATCGTCATGTTATTCTAGAGGAGTCTAGTGATGTGCGTTATCGCAAACGTACCAGTCGCAGTCTAGAAGATCCTCCTGGCTTAGGATCTCGTATATTGAGACGTTTATCATCGAAAGCACGTGACAATTCACATATGCAACAACATCGTGGCAGTTCGGGCAGCAATATGCCGGTACACATGGCTGGCCATGTACATCCACATCCCCACATGAATGCCGGCGTTGAGAATAAGGCATTCCAAAGTGATGTGCCCAAGAGTCCTTGGCGCTATCCCTTCCGTCGTGCTCAACAGATTCAGGCACATCCTATGCATATGCAAAGAACTTTGTCACAAGATTCGGGTTCATCGATGGGTTCGGCGGCCATACAAATATCACCATTGCACAAACATGCCTTGAACTGAACTAGAACTGAACTAGAACTAGAACTGAACTAGAACTGAACTAGAACTGAACTAGAACTGAACTAGAACTGAACTAGAAACTGAACTAGAACTGAACTAGAACTGAACTAGAACTGAACTAGAACTGAACTAGAACTGAACTAGAACTGAACTAGAACTGAACTAGAACTGAACTAGAACTGAACTAGAACTGAACTAGAACTGAACTAGAACTGAACTAGAACTGAACTAGAACTGAACTAGAACTGAACTAGAACTGAACTAGAACTGAACTAGAACTGAACTAGAACTGAACTAGACTGAACTAGAACTGAACTAGAACTGAACTAGAACTGAACTAGAACTGAACTAGAACTGAACTAGAACTGAACTAGAACTGAACTAGAACTGAACTAAACTGAACTAGAACTGACTAGAACTGAACTAGAACTGAACTAGAACTGAACTAGAACTGAACTAGAACTGAACTAGAACTGAACTAGAACTGAAACTAGAACTGAACTAGAACTGAACTATGAACTGAACTAGAACTGAACTAGAACTGAACTAGAACTGAACTAGAACTGAACTAGAACTGAACTAGAACTGACACTAGAACTGAACTAGAACTGAACTAGAACTGAACTAGAACTGAACTAGAACTGAACTAGAACTGAACTAGAAACTGAACTAGAACGACTAGAACTGAACTAGAACTGAACTAGAACTGAACTAGAACTGAACTAGAACTGAACTAGAACTGAACTAGAACTGAACTAGAACTGAACTAGAACTGAACTAGAACTGAACTAGAACTGAACTAGAACTGAACTAGAACTGAACTAGAACTGAACTAGAACTGAACTAGAACTGAACTAGAACTGAACTAGAACTGAACTAGAACTGAACTAGAACTGAACTAGAACTGAACTAGAACTGAACTAGAACTGAACTAGAACTGAACTAGAACTGAACTAGAACTGAACTAGAACTGAACTAGAACTGACTAGAACTGAACTAGAACTGAACTAGAACTGAACTAGAACTAACGAACTGAACTAGAACTGAACTAGAACTGAACTAGAACTGAACTAGAACTGAACTAGAACTGAACTAGAACTGAACTAGAACTGAACTAGAACTGAACTAGAACTGAACTAGAACTGAACTAGAACTGAACTAGAACTGAACTAGAACTGAACTAGAACTGAACTAGAACTGAACTAGAACTGAACTAGAACTGAACTAGAACTGAACTAGAACTGAACTAGAAACTGAACTAGAACTGAACTAGAACTGAACTAGAACTGAACTAGAACTAGAACTGAACTAGAACTGAACTAGAACTGAACTAGAACTGAACTAGAACTGAACTAGAACTGAACTAGAACTGAACTAGAACTGAACTGAACTAGAACTGAACTAGAACTGAACTAGAACTGAACTAGAACTGAACTAGAACTGAACTAGAACTGAACTAGAACTGAACTAGAACTGAACTAGAACTGAACTAGAACTGAACTAGAACTGAACTAGAAACTGAACTAGAACTGAACTAGAACTGAACTAGAACTGAACTAGAACTGAACTAGAACTGAACTAGAACTGAACTAGAACTGAACTAGAACTGAACTAGAACTGAACTAGAACTGAACTAGAACTGAACTAGAACTGAACTAGAACTGAACTAGAACTGAACTAGAACTGAACTAGAACTGAACTAGAACTGAACTAGAACTGAACTAGAACTGACTAGAACGAACTAGAACTGAACTAGAACTGAACTAGAACTGAACTAGAAACTAGAACTGAACTAGAACTGAACTAGAACTGAACTAGAACTGAACTAGAACTGAACTAGAACTGAACTAGATGAACTAGAACTGAACTAGAACTGAACATGAACTGAACTAGAAAGAACTAGAACTGAACTAGAACTGAACTAGAACTGAACTAGAACTGAACTAGAACTGAACTAGAACTGAACTAGAAACTGAACTAGAACTGAACTAGAACTGGAACTAGAACTGAACTAGAACTGAACTAGAACTGAACTAGAACTGAACTAGAAACTGAACTAGAACTGAAACTAGAACTGAACTAGAACTGAACTAATGAACTAGAACGAACTAGAACTGAACTAGAACTGAACTAGAACTGAACTAGAACTGAACTAGAACTGAAACTAGAACTGAACTAGAACTGAACTAGAACTAGAACTGAAGTAGAACTGAATTAGAACTGAACTAGAACTGAACTAGAACTGAACTAGAACTGAACTAGAACTGAACTAGAACTGAACTAGAACTGAACTAGAACTGAACTAGAACTGAACTAGAACTGAACTAGAACTGAACTAGAACTGAACTAGAACTGAACTAGAACTGAACTAGAACTGAACTAGAACTGAACTAGAACTGAACTAGAACTGAACTAGAACTGAACTAGAACTGAACTAGAACTGAACTAGAACTGAACTAGAACTGAACTAGAACTGAACTAGAACTGAACTAGAACTGAACTAGAACTGAACTAGAACTGAACTAGAACTGAACTAGAACTGAACTAGAACTGAACTAGAACTGAACTAGAACTGAACTAGAACTGAACTAGAACTGAACTAGAACTGAACTAGAACTGGACTAGAACTGAACTAGAACTGAACTAGAACTGAACTAGAACTGAACTAGAACTGAACTAGAACTGAACTAGAACTGAACTAGAACTGAACTAGAACTGAACTAGAACTGAACTAGAACTGAACTAGAACTGAACTAGAACTGAACTAGAACTGAACTAGAACTGAACTAGAACTGAACTAGAACTGAACTAGAACTGAACTAGAACTAGAACTGAACTAGAACTGAACTAGAACTAGAACTGAACTAGAACTGAACTAGAACTGAACTAGAACTGAACTAGAACTGAACTAGAACTGAACTAGAACTGAACTAGAACTGAACTAGAACTGAACTAGAACTGAACTAGAACTGAACTAGAACTGAACTAGAACTGAACTAGAACTGAACTAGAACTGAACTAGAACTGAACTAGAACTGAACTAGAACTGAACTAGAACTGAACTAGAACTGAACTAGAACTGAACTAGAACTGAACTAGAACTGAACTAGAACTGAACTAGAACTGAACTAGAACTGAACTAGAACTGAACTAGAACTGAACTAGAACTGAACTAGAACTGAACTAGAACTGAACTAGAACTGAACTAGAACTGAACTAGAACTGAACTAGAACTGAACTAGAACTGAACTAGAACTGAACTAGAACTGAACTAGAACTGAACTAGAACTGAACTAGAACTGAACTAGAACTGAACTAGAACTGAACTAGAACTGAACTAGAACTGAACTAGAACTGAACTAGAACTGAACTAGAACTGAACTAGAACTGAACTAGAACTGAACTAGAACTGAACTAGAACTGAACTAGAACTGAACTAGAACTGAACTAGAACTGAACTAGAACTGAACTGAACTAGAACTGAACTAGAACTGAACTAGAACTGAACTAGAACTGAACTAGAACTGAACTAGAACTAGAACTGAACTAGAACTGAACTAGAACTGAACTAGAACTGAACTAGAACTGAACTAGAACTGAACTAGAACTGAACTAGAACTGAACTAGAACTGAACTAGAACTGAACTAGAACTGAAGTGAATTGAACTGAATTGGAACTAGGACTGAATTGAACTTGCAACATCGCACACTAAAACCCTTTTCAATTTTTTTCAGAAATCCTCCTATTAATCGCATAAGAGACATGGATCACTGGTGATGATCTTCATCTACAACAACAAATACTTGATTAAAGAAAGAGAACATTTGAGAACGAGATGATGTTTTTATAAATCATTTGCTTGTTTTCTTACACTTCTCTTTCTCTCACAAAACAATTTATTTTTAATTTAATTATTTAACGGACGTAACTTATTTGTGATAAATTTTATTATTTTTATAAACAATTGACCCTCTAATATAATGGACCATAATTTAAAACAGAATGACAAAAAAACAAATGAAAAAAATAAGGAACACAACCTGACGAACGAATTAGTTTAAATTTTTATTTTATTTGTTTGAATTATAAAATTTAAGTTTAAAATTTAAGTACAACAACAGCCATTTTATAGCTAGAAAATACAGATTAAACTAATAACTATATGAATAATTAAAAAAATAATAAAAAACACTATTAAAATAAAACAATATTAAAATTTAAGTGATGATGTCATTGTGATAATCCCTAAAACAAAATAATGAAAAAAAGAACTATAAAAAATATATTTAAATTATTAAAAACTTAAAACAATTACTATAAGCAGAGGCGTATGAATTTATAAAATATGGGGATTTAAAATTGATTTATTATTGTGTAATAAAAACGCCTTTGTTTTAAATTATTTCCTTTCTTTAACTGCTTCTCTTGAGGTTATTTTTCAACAATGTAATTCATTTTAATTTTAACAAAAAAATATGATTGTAATACTTTTTTAATAAGTTTTAGTTTGTTTTATTAGGATTTTATTTAATTTAACATTTCAATAAATTGGCTTTTAGTTTATTTTTATATTTAGTAGAAATTTTAACAAAATTATTTATTTTATTCTCTATCACTCTTTTTAATATTGTGTTAAGTTTTTTGCTATTTTTATATGTAATTGTCAATTGTGAAACATTTTATTTATTTATTTACTTTTATTATATTAATTTTCTTTATTATCACAAATGTTAATTTTAAGAAGAGCGTTATGAAGAAAAAGCGAAATTATTGTAACGAGAATTAAGAATTCTTTAAGTGATTTAGAAAAATACAACGAAGTTGAAAAAGATTTGTTAAGAAAATTGTGAAAATTATAAAAAATGTTTAGAGAATAAGAAAAAAAACTTGATATAGAAAATAAAACAAAAATATTATTAAAATTTAAAATCGATTTGTTTTTTTTTTAATTTTAAAATTGCCTATAAAGAGAAATTTAAAAAAGTTCTATAGAAAAGATAAATTCATATAAAGAAGAGAAATTTAAAAAAAAAAAATTCTATAAAAGAGAGTAATTCTCAAAAATTTTCTTTAAAATATAGAAATTTTGAAAATGGTAGGATCAATTATAGACCGATTCTTATAAAATTTAGTAGTTAGATTTTAGTTCCCATAAAACTTGTTCATATCTAGTATCATAGCCTATATTGGTATTCTTAAGCTAGTGATGACCGATAAGGTAATTTTTTGAAGGGAGCCTTATGTGTAGGGTAGGGTTAATTATGGACCGATTCTCATAAAATGTTGCAGCGCGACTTTGGTTTATAAAAACTGGTTAATGTTGAATTATATCGCTGTACTCGATTTTTTAAGCCATAATAAGAGTTAAAATCAATTTCTGAAGGGGACATTATATGGGGGGTAGGATTAAATATGGTCCGATCCTCATTAAATTAAGTAAAAAGATTTATGTTCCTATAAAACTTTCTTCCTTCGAATTTCATTGCTGTACTGATACTTTTAGGCAAATTGTGATCGTTAAAGTCATTTTCTGAAGGGGGGCTTCTATGCGGGGTAGGGTCAGTTATAGGGGAATGTCAGCCATACTTTACAGAATAGTTTCTGGGTATTTAAAACTAATAGCAAAATATAGTCCACAGCATTCTACAGTCAAGACTATAGACTACTATAAAGTCCAGACTATAGACTACTCTATAGTCCAAGCTATAGACTACTCTATAGTCTAGACTACAGACTACTCTATAGTTCAGACTATAGACTACTCTATATTGCAGACTATAAACTACTCTATATTCCAGACTATTGACTACTCTATTGTCCAGACTATATACTACTCTATTGTCCAGACTATTGACTACTCTATTGTCCAGACTATAGACTAGTCTATAAACCAGACTATATACTACTCTTTAGTCCAGACTATGGACAACTCTATAGTCCAGACTATGGACAACTTCATAGTCCAGACTATAGACAACTCTATAGTCGAGACTATAGACTACTTTATAGTCCAGACTATAGACTACTTTATAGTCCAGACTATAGACAACTCTATAGTCCAGACTATAGACAACTCTATAGTCCAGACTATATACAACTCTATAGCCCAGACTATAGACATTTCAATAGTCTAGACTATAGACTACTCTATAGTCCAGACAATAGACTACTCTATAGTCCAGACTATGGACAACTCTATAGTCCAGACTATGGACAACTCTATATTCCAGACTATAGACAACTCTATAGTCCAGACTATATACAATTCTATAGTCCAGACTATAGACAACTCTATAGTCCAGAATATGGACTTATCTTTAGTGCAGACTATGGACTAATCTTTAGTGCAGACTATAGACTACTCTATAGGCCACACCACTCTACAATCTAGACTATAAATTACTCTATTGTCAAGACTATAAACTACTATTTAGTGCAGACTATAGACTACTCTATTTTTCAGACTATAGACTACTCTATAGTCCAGACTGTAAACTACTCAATATTCAGACTATTGTCTAATTTATAGCACTAATCTTAGTCCAGACTAATGACCAATCCAAAACCAAAACTATGGAAAGATGTAGTCGAAAGTATCGACGAATCTATAGCCTAGACTTTATATTTATCTATATTACTTAGCTCACACTATAAAAATCTCTATGGTTAATATCATTAAACAATATTCCGGGGATCACTTATATGGGCGAGAGGCAGATATTTTACGAAAACGTTCTATAGAAGAAGAAATTTAAAAAAAGATATTTTATTAAAAAATTCTAATTTGTTTTTAAGAAAAATTTTCCATAAAAAATATAAATTTTTCGAAAATTTTCTCTGAAAAGTGAAATTTTCCGAAAATTTTCTATAAAAAAAATTTTCTATAAAAATAGAAAATTTCCGAAAATTTTCTATGCAAAGAGAAATTTTTTATTAAAAGCGCAATTTCACTTTAAATAATTTATGTAGTGTTTGTATCACCCTGTTTACTTTTAAATCAAATAATTTACAGCATCTTTTTAGGCTTAACTTAAAGTACATTACAATTAGTCAACACATAGTTTTCATAAGAGCAGTAGTTATATTTTTAAGGCAACATTTCACAATTCTTAAAATTTTTAATTAAGTCTAAAATCTATTCTTGACAGGTGTAACAATACTCAAACTAATAATGTTTTCCTATAATAAAACGAAATATATCCAAGTTTATTTAACATTTGATTATATTGATAAAACTAAATACAAAAAAATAATAAATATTTATTTTTTATATAAACTTATTGTGAAAAATATACATTTATTGCAATTTGATGACTAGTTACATGCACATTCATCAATGTTTGATTTTGTAGCAGTTTATTTTATTAAATACTGAATGCATTTTATACCAATAAATCTTAAAAAAAATGTACAAAATGAAATCCTTCAATATGTGCAATCTAACAATACAATATGAAATCGTATTTTGCTGCTGTTGCTCAAACTGATGCTGCTACTGCAGCATATCACTACATCAACATGATGTACGACTTCATGATGGAATTTAACAATATGTATGATTGTAAGATGTAGGATTTGTTGTTTTAGTTGTTGGTTTTGGCATATTGTTTGTAGTACATATTAGTTGTTGCAGCTACTGTTGCTGCTGCTACCGATGATGTATCTTCCATATTATGTGACAACAAAAATTCTATTCTATTCCATAAACTAATAAAATAAAATACAATCAAATCAAAAAACAAAAATAACTTGCAAAAAATTGAAAGAAATATTTTAGTCAGAGGGAAAAAAGAAATATATAAAATGCAGGAAAACAATGCTAAACAAATCTTGATAAAATATTGCAAAGTGGATGAAAAGGAAAAAAAAGAAATGTAACTAAAATAAAGTAAGTAACTTTACTTGTCCGTTATTTAAACATATTTACAAAATACGTATTTAGAAAATACAGTAAAAAATAGCAAATATTTTTATAAACACTCACTAAAATAAATAAATTCAGAATCTAGAATAAGTCGAAGTGTTTTAATCCTTCTAGATGTCAGATTATTTTAAAAAGCTGACAATAGAATAACATACATTAGAGACTATAAGTATATTTTTGTCCCAGACCATGACTAATCTTTTGTTCAGAATACAGACTTTGACTAATTTTTAAACCCGACTATTGACTAATCTATAGTGCAGAGTATGAACCAGACTTTAGACTAATCTATGGTCGAGACAATAGACTAGACTTTAGAACAATTCATAATCCAGTCTAGACTTATCTATAGTCCATACTATAGACAACAGTATTGTCCACCCCATATTTTTCTACTGTTTATATAATAGATTACTTTAGAATATAGTCTCCACTATAGATTAGACCATAGTATGTATTGTAGATTATTCTATAATCTTATCTTTAGTCTGAAGTTCAGACACTGAACTATATTTTAATCCAAAGGCTGGTATGTATATAGATTACTCTATAGGCTACTTTATAGTCCAGACTATAGACTACTTCATAGACAGGTAATAGTTTATTCTATAGTACAGACTATAGACTATAGTCTAATCTATAGTCCAGACTATACACTACTCTATAGTCCAGATTATACACTACTCTATAGTCCAGTCTATAGACTACTCCATAGTACAGTCTATACATTACTCTATAGTCCAGTCTACAGACTACTCTATAGTCCAGATTGTAGACTACTCCTTAGTGCAGACTATAGACTACTCTAGAGTCAACACCACTCTACAGTCTAGACTATAGACTTCTCTATAGTCTAGAATATAGACTTCTCTATAGTCTAGACAATAGACTACTCTATTATCCAGAATATAGACTACTCTATAGTTCACACCACTCTACAGTATAGATTATAGACAATAGACTACTCTATAGACCAGACTATAGACTACTCTTTAGTGCAGACTAAAGACTACTCTTTAGTGCTGACTATAGACTACACTTTAGTGCAGAATATATATAGACTACTCTATAGTCCACACCACTCTACAGTCTAGACTATAGACTACTCTGTAGTCCACAACACTCTACAGTCTAGACTACGCTTTAGTGCAGACTATAGAATACTCTATAGTCCACAGCACTTTACAGTCTAGACTGCTCTAAGTCCAGACTATAGACTACTCTATAGTCCAGACTATAGACAACTCTGTAGTCC